AGGTCTTTCTCACCAAGGCAATATAAGTACCTTTGCAGCAGTTTGTAGAGGCAGAGTTGGATGTTTCTTGGGGGCCTCCATTATTACGTTCAACAAACTACTCGATCCTCCAACTTTGGAGGCGCAAGCATGCAATGAGGCCCTAGCTCTTGACGAAGATGTCAACTTTATCCAAAGTGGTGATTGCTTTGGACAGCCTTGAGGGTGCTACAAGCATCAAAAAAGGTGCGGACTCAGTCTGCATGCTGCTTCTCAGTGGAATACATCACCGTATGAAGAATTTGATGAAGTTTGCTTTCGGTTTGAGCAACGTGAGTCAAATTTGGAAACCCGTGATTTAGCTAAAGCTTCTTTGACTCTTGTAATTGGGTGCCATTTGTTGCTAGGGGTAGTGTGTGACATCATTTGTATACCAGACACTTTGCTCATTGAATAAAATCTCTAGTTACCCTTAAAAAAGGATGTGAGCTATCTAGTGATGGGTCGGGTAACTTGTCGTACGTGCGAGGTCACCCGGTATTTTTATATTTTGGTTCCTCTTTTTCTGTTTCTTTTTGTATTCCTTTTCTCTCAATTTTTTGTTTCTTTTTTTTATAATTTCAAGTTTTCCAAAAGTTCAAAATTTTAAAACTGTGTGAAATTTCACATTTTTGTCCATGTTTTTAAACAACTATTCACATTCTGAAACATAAATTTGGAATTTTTAAATTTTATTCATGTTTTCAAACAAAATCCCCATTTTTAAAAAAGATTGTGTTTCAAAAATTGTTCAAATTTTTTAAAAAATTGTACAGAATTTTTTAAGGTGTTCACACTTTGAAAATGGTTCAGCTTTTCTTTTTCATGTTTATCAGAAAAGTTTGGACTTTTTAAAATGGTTTTTTTAATATTTGGGTAAAAGTTTCTGATGTATACATGATTTTGAAAAATATTTTTTGACAAAGATGTAAAAGTTTCTTTGTTTTACCCAAATATGTTTACATCTTGTATATAAAATATGTTTCTGATGTATACAAAAAATGTAGAGTCTATATTGAAAAAGTTGTTACGTATTGAACATAAAGAAAACCGATGAAAATCGACAAAGAAACAAAGAAACATAGAAACCCATGTATAGAAAAACTATGTAAAAAAAACAATGTGTATGGAAAAAACATATGGATTGTGTATTAAAAAAAGTGAAACATGTATAAAAAATGTTGCAGGTGTATACACACAATGTCCATTGTGTATCAAAACATGTTTATGGTCATCAAGAAAATATCCTTTGTGTATTGAAAATTATTGACCATGTTTTCCAAAAATGTCAATTGTATCTGAAACATGCTAAAGGTGTATATAAAAATGTATTACATATATACCAAAAATATACTATGTGTATAAAAAAATTAGACATAAAAATAGGTTTCAAAAAATGTAATCAGTTACATAAAAAATATTAAACATGTATATAATATGTGTCTGATGAAAAAAAATGTAGAATGTGTACCAACAATGTTGACATGTGCTGAAGCAAAAGGAAACTTGTAAAAATCGACAAAGAAACAAAGAAACCCAATAAAAACCAGAACAGAACAACAAAGAAAACCAAAAAAACCAAAGTAAACCAATGCAAAAGAATGAACACAGTGAAAAGTGAGAAATAAATAAATAAAAACAAAGTAAACCCATGAAAATCAACATTAAAACAATGAAAATGAAGAAAAATAAAGAAAATGGGATAGAAAAGAAAAAATGGGGCAAATAAAAGGAAACCGGTGTAAAAACAAAGAAAAAAACTAAAAAAATCCATGAAGAATCAAAAGAATTTAAAATTGTTAAAGGTGTCTAGGGAAAATGTTTCTCATGTATACAGAAAATATATAATTTGTCTGAAAAAGGTGATCATGTATTTAAAAAATGTTAATAAAGCATTTGAAAAATGTTAACCAACTATTTGAAAGAAAATATTAATCAAGCAGTTCAATTTTTTTCAAAAGTGCGTAGAAAAATGCTTGTCATGTATACGCGTAATATATACTCCCTCCGTCTCAAAATAAGTGTCTCAAGCTTAGTGCAACTTTGTACTGAATTTAGTACAAAGTTGAGACACTTATTTTGGAACGGAGGGAGTAGAAAACAAATATAATGTGTATGAAATAAAAATCTTGATCATGTATTTAAAAAGTTAAACATGTATAGAAAAATGTTGTTGGTGTATACAAAAAATGTTGCGTTTTATGTCAAAAAATGTTTAAAGACATTTAAAAAAATGTTACTGTGTATGAAAGAATGTTGACCATGTATTAAAAAACATTTAATCACGTGTTTGCAACATGTTAAAAATGTATAAGATATATACCAAAAATTTACAACTTGTTTGGAAAATTTTAGACTTCAAAATTGTTTAAAAAAAATGGCAATCATGCATTTCAAAAATGTTAACCATGTATATATAACAAATTCTGATGTGTACGAAAAATGTAGAATGTGCACCTAAAGAATTGGCATGTGTTGAAAAAAAAGAAAACCGATTAAAATCGACAAAGAAACCCAATAAATACCCCAAAAGAAAAACAAGACATACAAATAAGGCTGAAGAAAACCAATGCAAAAGAATAAAAATAGTGATAGAAATGATGGAAAATGATTTGAACCAATAAATAAATGGGATAGACTAGAAAAGAAAACACCAATGAAGATGGAGAAAGAAACAAAAGAGAAAAGACCCGTGTAAAAGGAAAAAAGAAGAAAGTCGAAGAGAGGAAAATGAAACAGAAAAAAAAAGCAAAACACAGAGAATGCTACGAGTGAGCAAGCGAACTAGCAAGGGCTAAGAGCATCTCTAGTAGACCCCTTAAAGCCACAACCCTTAAAACATGGATAAGGGCAGATAAAACTGCGGTTTAAAGACCGAAATCGGCTGCGGCTCTGTTCCGCCGCAGCCGATTTCAGCCCTCAAATCGTAAAAACCACACAAAGCAATTGACCGTGATTTAAACAAATAAAACACAAATTAAAATATGAATATTACAATACAACGGTCATCCAAATTACAATAATTATTCAAATCTAAGAATTAAACTTATAATTTAATACAAGAATTGTTCCCAATACAAGAATGATACAAATCACACATGAATTAAATTAAATGAATTTAAAAATGGCAGGTTTTATTACCGCCCATACCTTTGTCAATGGTGTGCAATGAGATCGTCTTGAAGCTGGTAGTGGGTGTTTGAGTCTTCAATTTCCTAGTATGTCTGAAGGAATGCTTGTATGCGGTCAGGGTCTCTAGATGGCTTCACACGGCTACCGCCAATACAAAGATACTCGTCGGCATAGTTAGCCGGAATGCCATATGCAATCACCCGCATAGCTGCTAAGATTTTTTGATATGCGCTAAAACACTTCAACCCCGCGGCGTTTCTCCTTTGGGTAAAAAACCGAGAATTGGCCTCGCAAGCTTGTACTATTTTTACAAAGAAGGCGGCGCATTCGATAGCTTCTCCGGAAGAGTTGCGGCAGATACGTATGTGACGCCATGAAGTAGTCTTGCATGAGCATCTCGTTCCCGAGATGGCGGTTGCGAGGGATGCAAAGACGGTCGACGGCCGATCCTTGCCGTCTCTCTCTGTTCGTATCCTCGAGCTCCTTCATGACAAGGACCGCCACCACGATCTGCAGCTGGTTGTTCTCAAGTGGCATCTCTATGTCCAAGTCGTCGGACGAGGACGAATCCTCAAGAAAAAATTCCTCGCAAGGGCTCAAATCCATCTACAAAATCGCAATGGAGCTCGCATGAACAGAAGTCCTTCGCTAAATCAAACTTGAAGAGGTAGAAAAGGGCTCACCGGCGGATCCGGGCGGGCGGTGACTAGGGGCAGGCGGCGGTCGATCCGGGGCGACGGGTCCTGGGGGGCGGCTAGGTGCGGCGAATATGGGGTGGCAGGGACCCGGGGGCGGCTGGGCGTGGCGGTGGACGGCTGGCTACGAAAGGGGGAGGGAACGCGCGCGGGCTGAAATGTCCCTCCCGCCAACTGCTTTCGCAGTATATAGGGCACCGACGGGGCCGGGGGGACTTGTATTTTCGCGGGTCGGGTGGTTGGGGCAATTGACCGTGCCCCTCAAAAAAAAAATAAGTGTCGAGGGGGTTTAAGGGGTCTGTTTAGGTCATTTTTTTCGTCCAAAGTTATAAAGTGACAATTATTTACAGTTCGGCATGATATAAAGGGTCTGCAAGAGATGCTGAAGGGTGAGTCCAATACTATAGAGAATGCAAAAAAAAAACTTTAAACGATACAAAAGCTAGTGTCGCCATAAGCGAGATATAGCTCTCAAACCCTGAAACATGAGCTGAGAGCGAAAACGAAAACAAGCCAACATGGGCCGCATACAAACGTTCTTGAGGCCACGACATGAATCACAGCGTGAGTTTTGATCCAACGGGTGTGCTTGTGAATGACATCAAACTATATATGCCAGCTAACTTGCAGTTTTGTTTCTTTTGTTCTCTTGACCTAGCCTATTGTACGACTTTTTCTTGTACATACACACCCTCTGTTTATAAATAGGGTGTAGTTAGGTCTCAGCCGAGTGAGACTTAACCAAATCTTAGTTAAATGACATAACATATAAGAAAGAAAGAAATTAAGAAAAAAATTACATGATTTTGATGTAAAATTTTACAAATATAACATCGACTAAGAGTCATATATAGCAAGACTATAGTGTAGGTAGTAGCATTTTCATGCATGCATGTTAAAAGAAATAAATGTAGTGTAGTTGATGAGGTGGCATAGTCATGATGTTTAAAATAAATAAGGTAGTGGGGTGACCTTTTTATTAGCTATATAGGATAAGAACTTCTTGCTAAAGGCAGGGCATTATCTGAAGAAAAAAACAGCACTGACGACGTACCAACTCACTGAAATCACAACACACACAACCAAATTATGACTTCACGTGTCGACGACTGCTTCATCGTGAGTAACCGAGCCAAGCGCACATGCTGCATGCCGCTAAACCGCGGCGCAGCCGATGCTGCCGGCGACGTCGATGACGAAGCGGTACCTGACATCGTTCCTCTCGAGTCGCTCCATGGCCGTGTTAACGTACTCCATCTTGACGACCTCGACGTCCGCGGCGATGCCGTGCTCCCCCGCGAAGTCCAGCATCGCCTGGCAGTCGCGCACGCTGCCCACGCCGCTCCCGGCCAGGCGCTTCCCGCCCGTGACGATGGCCGAGGCCGGCAGCACCATGGGCTCGGTCGGCACGCCCACCAGCACCATCTGCCCCATCGGCTTCAGCAGCTCCAGCAGCGGCAGCAGCGGGTGCCCCGCCGACACCGTGTCGACGATGCCGTCCATCGTGCCCGCCGCGGCCTTCATCTCCTCGGCGTCGTGGCTGACCAGGAAGGCGTCGACGCCGAGGCGCTCGACCGCCTCCGAGCGCTTCCTCGGCGACGAGCTGATCACGGTTACCGTGATCCCGAACGCCTTGCCGAACTTGACGGCCATGTGGCCGAGGCCGCCCAGGCCGACGACGCCCAGGCGCATCCCCGGCGCGTTCAGGCCGTACTGCACCATGGGGCTGTACACCGTGACGCCGGCGCACAGGAGAGGCGCCGCCCCGGCCGGCGGCAGGCCCTCCGGGACGCGGAGGACGTAGTCCTGGTTGACGACGAGGACGTCGGCGAATCCCCCTTGGGTGGTGGCGCCGTCGTAGTCCACGCCGTTGCAGGTGAGCAGGAGGGCGGGGCAGTTGTTCTCGTACCCCTTGGCGCAGCTCTCGCACGCGCGGCAGGAGCCGATGAAGGAGCCCACGCCCACCGTGTCGCCGGCCTTGAAGCTCCGGACGCCGCGGCCCACGCCGGTGACGACGCCGACGATCTCATGCCCTGGAACAACGGGGTACATGGCGTTGCCCCACTCGTTCTTGGCGACGTGCAGGTCCGTGTGGCAGATCCCGCAGAAGAGCACCTTGATCGTCACGTCGTCCTCCTTCTGAGCCCTGGAGTAAAACCACAACGAGCTGAGCTCAGTACGTACCACTACCACACTGTCACTAGCTAGTACACTACGACCACGTCCACGTGAGATGGAGATGTAAACCTTCGTGAGAAGCTGTAGGGGGAGAGGAGACCGGAGGCGTCTCTGGCCGCCCACCCGAGCGCCGGCTTACTCTCCTGCGCCATGGCTCGTCCTTTGATCCTGCCGTGCCGTTCGTTCAGGACCTTTTTCCTTTCTATCTTTCTCTCTTTTTCAACCAGGATAGTATTTCTGATAGAGCAATGCTACATCATGGAGTTCAGAATAAATAGACGGGCGAGCACATCATGGGCATGGGTTTTAATTTTGTTTTAAACACTCAAATGGAAATGGCAGAAGGATATGGGGCGGCTTGACCGTCCATTTTTAAAAACCGTGAAGAACGATTTAACACACGCAGTGCTGTAGGCCAATGTAGTGGAGTGGGTAGGTGACGATGATCGGATGATCAGTGAGCAATCTGTGCGTGTGCGCTCAAAATAAGTTTGCACCTTCCGACCAAAGCGTCACCAAACCATCTCATGCAATGGCACGCGTACTTATTTCAGCCTTACCAAATGTACCCCTATTATGCTTAGCAGCCATAGCTCTCACGTCAAACCAGTGGAGACTTTTTCGTCGGAACTTTAACACACCCTACTCCATAGGAAATACTCCTAACCAATTCGAACTTTAAAAAGAAAATCACTCTGTCTACACTCTTACTTACAATACAAGTGCTATACTTAGGTCTCGCTCCTTAGCAGACAGGTTCGATAGAATACCACTCAACATGCATGTGGACCACTATGCGCAATCACGCCCCCATTTAAATAAAAAGAAGTTGCCAACCAAAATTTGTCCGGTCTGAACTCGTCATTGCTGAGCAAATCGAATCAATCATCAGAGGAGTGAGGCTTATCGATCAAAGCCAGATCCCATCCTTGAGGAGCTCTCCGCCAGGGCTTCTTGAAGCTGCGCTACTTATATCTGTTGTTACTCCAGTTTCCATGATTAGTCAAATTCTGAACTTTCGGTCTGTAAGGTGGGCTGCACACTACTGTTGCGCCATTTGCCTCTGAGTGTGAATTATGGCTTGCGCTGGCAAGTGAACCCCTTCTGTGGCTTTGCTATGTTATCCAATGAGTGACAAACTTGTTGTTTTTAACTGAAATGTGAGAGGGCTGAATGATAGGGCCAGACGAGCTGCCGCCCGCACGCTCATTGAACGCTTTGCCTGTTCGATTGTATGTCTGCAGGAAACGAAACTTTCGTCCTGCTCGGCTACCGATCGCCTGGAAATTGTAGGCCCACGTTTTGATCATCATGCGGCCCTTGACGCCGATGGAACGCGCGGTGGCATCCTGCTGTGCTGGAGCTCCACTGATTATGCGGCTAGTAGGCTGGACGTGAGAACATACACTGTTACAGCAACCTTCTCTCCCACGGATGGCGGGCATGATTGGTCCATGACAACGGTATATGGCCCCCATGATGACCAGGTAAGAACGAGTTCCTCGCAGAGCTTTGCCTCAATTCATAATACCATGACGGGCCCGTGGCTCCTCATTGGGGACTTCAACCTCATTACAAACCCGCAGGACAAGAACAACTCAAGAGTTTGCCGGCGTTGGATGAACAAGTTTAGACGAACCCTGAACTCCTCGAGCCTCCATGAAATACCTCTGATTGGGCGCAGATTCACTTGGAGCAACGAGCAAGCCACCCCTACCCTAGTGCGCCTTGATCGAGCCTTCTGTAATATTGATTGGGAATTGATATTCCCTATGGCCAAGCTCCTCCCGCAATCTTCTGCCATATCCGACCACTGCCCGCTTCTATTACTCAATGACAGCATCATCAAGACAAACAAGCGCTTCCGCTTTGAATCGTACTGGCAGTTTATTGAGGGGTTCAGAGAGGTGGTGGACCAATCTTGGGCTTTGGACGCTGGATCTTCTTGCCCACTGTCTCGCCTGAATAACAAGTTGTGGCGGCTCAGCAAAGCTCTAAAAGAGTGGAGTAAGAACATTGTGGGGGACATTCAGAAGCAATTCGCACTGGTAAACGAGTTGATTCTGCAGCTAGACAAAGCGCAAGATCTGCGGGGCCTAACCATGGAAGAGAGTAGTCTATGCGCAAAGCTTAAATCCCGCACTTTGGGACTAGCTGTTCTAATCAAGATCAAGCGGCGACAGAGAAGCAGAGTGTGTTGGGAAACGTAGTAATTTCAAAAAAAAAATTCCTACGCACACGCAGGATCACGGTGATGCATAGCAATGAGAGGGGAGAGTGTTGTCTACATACCCTCGTAGACCGTTCGCGGAAGCGTTATATCAACGCGGTTGATGTAGTCGTACGTCTTCACGATCCGACCGATCCAAGTACCGAAAGCACGGCACCTCCGAGTTCTGCATGCGTTTGGCTCGGTGACGTCCTCGCCTTCTCGATCCAGCAAGAGGGGCGAAGTAGTAGATGAGTTCCGGCAGCACGATGGCGTGGTGACGGTGTTGGTGAAGAACAATCTCCGCAGGGCTTCGCCTAAGCACTACGAAAACTATGACGGAGGATAAACTAGAGGGGACGGGGTTGCCGGCACACGGCTTGGTGTTTCTTGATGTGTCCTGAGTGCTAGCCCTACCCCTCTATTTATATGTTGAGCCTTGGGGTCGAAACTTGGAGTAAAAGCCTCCACAAAGTCGGTTTCACCCGAAAGGCAAGAGTCCTTCTCGGACTCCAGGGCCAGACACCAGGGTCCCTGGCGTCTGGGTCAGTTCCCAGCGTCTGGCCCCTGGACTCCGAAAAACTTCCTTTTGCGCTTTCCAAAAACCTTGTGGGCTTTCCCCTTTGGCCCAAATAAAGTGTTCTTGTACCCAAACATTTCGAGAAATATCCGGAACCCCTTCCGGTGAATTCCGGAACCCTTTCAGAGTTCAAACACTATTATCCCATATATCAATCTTTATCTCCGGATTATTCCGGAGTTCCTCGTCATGTCCGTGATCTTATCCGGAACTCCGAACAACATTCGGTCACCAACATACATAACTCATAGTACTATATCGTCAATGAACGTTAAGCATGCGGACCCTACGGGTTCGGGAACTATGTAGACATGACCGAGACACCTCTCTGGTCAATAACCAATAGCGGGACCTGGATGCCCATATTGGCTCCTACATATTCTACGAAGATCTTTATCGGTCAGACCGCATAACAACATAAGTTGTTCCCTTTATCATCGGTATGTTACTTGCCCGAGATTCGATCGTCGGTATTTCAATACCTAGTTCAATCTCGTTACTGACAAGTCTCTTTACTCGTTCCGTAATACATCATCCCGCAACTAACTCATTAGTTGCAATGCTTGCAAGGCTTATAGTGATGTGCATTACCGAGTGGGCCCAGAGATACCTCTCCGACAATCGGAGTGACAAATCCTAATCTCGAAATACGCCAACCCAACAAGTACCTTCGGAGACACCTGTAGAGCACCTTTATAATCACCCAGTTACGTTGTGACATTTGGTAGCACACAAAATGTTCCTTCGGTAAACGGGAGTTGCATAATCTCATAATCATAGGAACATGTATAAGTCATGAAGAAAGCACTAGCAACAAACTAAAAGATCAAGTGCTAAGCTAACGGAATGGGTCAAGTCAATCACATCATTCTCCTAATGATGTGATCCCGTTAATCAAATGACAACTCATGTCTATGGTTAGGAAACTTAACCATCTTTGATCAACGAGCTAGTCAAGTAGAGGCATACTAGTGACACTCTGTTTGTCTATGTATTAACACATGTATTATGTTTCCGGTTAATACAATTCTAGCATGAATAATAAACATTTATCATGAAATAAGGAAACAAATAATAACTTTATTATTGCCTCTAGGGCATATTTCCTTCAGTCTCCCACTTGCTCTAGAGTCAATAATCTAGATCACATCGCCATGTGATTTAACATCAACAGTTCACATCACCATGTGATTAACACCCATAGTTCACATCGACATGTGACCAACACCCAAAGAGTTTACTAGAGTCAATAATCTAGTTCACATCGCTATGTGATTAACACCCAAAGAGTACTAAGGTGTGATCATGTTTTGCTTGTGAGAGAAGTTTAGTCAACGGGTCTGCCACATTCAGATCTGTAAGTATTTTGCAAATTTCTATGTCAACAATGCTCTGCATGGAGTTACTCTAGCTAATTGCTCCCACTTTCAATATGTATCCAGATTCAGATTTAGAGTCATCTAGATCAGTGTTAAAATTTGCATCGACATAACCCTTTACGATGAACCTTTTTTGTCACCTCCATAATCGAGAAACATATCCTTATTCCACTAAGGATAATTTTTGACCCCTGTCCAATGATCTACTCCTAGATCACTATTGTACTCCCTTGCTAAAAACAGTGTAGGGTATACAATAGATCTGGTACACAACATGGCATATTTTATAGAACCTATGGCCAAGGCATAGGGAATGACTTTCATTCTCTTTCTATCTTCTGCCGTGGTGGGGCTTTGAGTCTTACTCAGTTTCACACCTTTTAACACAGGCAAGAACTCTTTCTTTGACTGTTCCATTTTGAACTACTTCAAAATCTTGTCAAGGTATGTACTCATTGAAAAACTTATCAAGCGTCTTGATCTATCTCTATAGATCTTGATGCTCAATATGTAAGCAGCTTCACTGAGGTCTTTCTTTGAAAAACTCCTTTCAAACACTCCTTTATGCTTTGCAGAATAAGTCTACATTATCTCCGATCAACAATATGTCATTCACATATACTTATCAAAAATGTTGTAGTGCTCCCACTCACTTTCTTGTAAATACAGGCTTCACCGCAAGTTTGTATAAAACTATATGCTTTGATCAACTTATCAGAGCGTATATTCAAACTCCGAGATGCTTGAACCAGTCCATAGATGGATCGCTGGAGCTTGCATATTTTGTTAGCACCTTTAGGATTGACAAAACTTTCTTGTTGCATCATATACAACTCTTCTTTAATAAATCCATTAAGGAATGTAGTTTTGTTTATCCATTTGCCAGATTTCATAAAATGTGGCAATTGCTAACATGATTCAGACATACTTAAGCATAGATACGAGTGAGAAACTCTCATCGTAGTCAACACCTTGAACTTGTCG